ATAATTTTTCCACTAAGTTGTTCAAAGAATGTACTGGTTTGGATTACAATTCCCCCCCAACAAGATTACAGTACAATTCTTCATTTATTTTGAAGTGTGATCCTGCACAGTAGCGACACTGTGGCTTTAATCATTCAAGATCCAAATTCAAAGTCTGAAACTCCTGTTACATTCTGCACAGTCTCTACTTTTGAACCATATATTATTTAGAAGAGAAAGCTCTTCCAAAAAGGTAAGACCTTGTGCCTCTTACAACCGTTCACACCAGTTCAACGACATGATTTATTTACACTAACACGGACTGCCTTGCAAAGACTGCACTTTTTCCAACACAAACTTAAATTCAGTGAGTTAGACTGGATTATATCAACACAAGGTTTCTACTGTCCAAACACTGCTGATCTGTTTTAGCAGTTTACTTCCCTATGTCTAAGCAAGTCTAGTTTTTGTTTCCCCAAAGAGTCAAGGCCTTAAATCATATGCAGACAGAATACTACCAAGGTTAGTTCTGATGGGCACCTTTCTCCCCCTGAAACACTTTTTCTAAATTCTAGCAAAACTGTGTAGCTGAAGGATAACAGCAACTGCAGAGGAATGCACATAAGCAATCCATACAAGCTAATGCACACAAGTGATTCAAGTTTAAGCAGCAGGGAACGAAGACAATTTGCATGTTTTATCGCAAGCTCTTTGATGAGGCTTTCTCAAATTATGTTTATTTGGAATAGTTACCAAAAAGGATTCTGTTCTTTTTTAATGCTACCATTCAAAAGCCATCAACCACGAAAGGATATTATTTCTTGCACGTTATTTGCAGTTTTTACAGAGGGTGTGGAACATACTACCTCCAAGAGCTGTCAAAGTATCACTGTTACAGGCTTGAAATACAGACTAGGCAAAAGACAGCTTAAAGGATTCAAGCTGCTATGTATGCCATGTGATTTTCAAAGATGGAGTAAAAGACAACACCTTACAATTGAACAACACAAGCTGATAACTGCAGAACTTAAATACATCAGGAACAGGATTTACCTTTGTAAAATTAAAACCAAACTAGAACCACCAGCAGCGGTTTTGAACTTAATCAGGCATTCATGGAGCTTTAACAAAATCAAAGGTATTCCCACACCTTGAAATTTCTCATGCACTTTTTGCTTGGAAGTCATATTGCCAAAACATCATGAATTCTACTAAACAGTTTTTTACTTTTTCAATAAAGTAGCAAGGCATGTAGCCTTTTATTTTTAAAGAACCCTTTACAGTTTTTTTGTGAGTCAGGCAAGAGTCCTTTTCCTGGGTAAGGGTAGAAGAGAACCACAAAAGTGTTAATCTTGTTTGCTCCTATACATATTGGCAAAAGTGCTAGAGCAGAGTGTATTTTGCAGCATTACAGAAGCCTCAAGTGAAATGAATGTCTCCCCCAACTCATCTCCAAAATATTTTTGCAGGAAAAAGTATTAAATATTTACAGAAGCAACTGCTTATAAAATTTTGTCAAACCATATCTGTTACAGAAGAGAAATATTTCTCCACCATTCCAATTTAAAATAGGTGAACAGCACTTATTTTTTACATTAGGCTTCTAACCGAAATTCAAAACTACAGCTAAAATACTATGATACTATTATTGTATGTTGAGAGTTCCTTAATTATGGTGTTGCCAGTGGGAGCCACTGTTGCAAACACACAAAGAAAGGAGGATTAAAAGAACTAAATTCACCCCTGGAGAAATTCCAATGGAGACAGTTGCATTGCTTCCAGATAAGCCTTACCCACAGGTAATTTCTTTAGAAGACTGGGAAGTATTTTTAATGTTCTTCTTTACTTGGTGACCAATAATCTCTATATATGCCTAAGCACATATGACAGTCAAAAACATATATCTGAAAAAGAAGAGCCAGATTTAAGGAGTTCAGGTGTTAAGCAATAGTCATAAATCAAGAACCAGAACATGGATAGTCCTAAGGGCCACAACATATAGATCTGTCTCGGGTGTAAATGGTACCTGTTGCTCAGGACAATTATTGGAACATCTGCCCATTTAAGAGCCCCTGTAGAAGCATATTTCATCACTGACAAAGTGGTGAAAACAATCAAGTATCCAAAGCTCAGGTCCTGTTACCATACTAATATTGCTGCAAACCCTCATCCTGAGAGTGCTAGGCCCTTGCTCCCAAGTGTGAGACACAGGGAATTCCAGTTGGAAAGAGGATGCTCTGGGCCAACAGCACTGCTTTTAAATCACAACTTGAATTTCTTGTGTTGGGTACCTTGTTGCTTAAGCTCCCTGAATTAACGGACATTTCAGAATGGCATTGTTTCTTTCTTCATTTCCAACCTAACAATAGGAAAGAATTGTTTCCTGATTCTGTATAGGTGTTGTGAGAATCATCCATTCTCCTTTATCAAAAGCACGGGAAATCCCATGAAGTTAGAAATGTGCTTAGTACAGGATTTCAACAGGCTGTGACAGACAGTGCTAGAGAACATAAATTTAATTACAAAGATTAAAAGCAATAAACAACACTGTCCCTTCCTTCCACACCCCAACTGCAGACACACATCATCCCCCCCTTTTTCTAACCTCTAATCACTCACAATAGGAAGCTTACTAAGAACTAGCTCAAGCAGTTTTAAAATTTAACATTTGCTCTGCTTGATTTCATTCTGCTGAAGGTTACTGTTTGACACACACACACACCTCTGCTGGTTTTGCACAGTCCAGAACTTCATTTTTACCTGTCTGAATTGTCAGCTCGATTAAACTGCTGGACTCTGTACTGTAGTGGCTAACACACCTGTACCTATTTTATTCAACTGACTGTGGAGAAAGTTATCTCAGAGAGCAGTAGCTTCTTCAACCAGAGCACTCAATTTACTACTACTCGTCTCATAATGCCTCAAGTGACACAGAAAACCATAAGCAAATAAGCTGTGACCGGGATATTAAGGAGCAAATAACACCTTTACAAAGACATGCCTCCCACACATGTAGTATTTTCTGAGTCAAGCACATGACAATAAGAAAGTTAACTTTTGCCCAGACCTGCAGATATGTTCTCTTCAAGAAGCGAGACCCAGTCACAGAAGCAACAGAAACTGCTGTGGAAACAGTGAGTTTCCAGGAACCATTATTCTGTCAGTTAAAATACACGAACTCTGAGTGTTACTCAAGTTCATTTAGGGACAGCAAATCAGGCTGAGAAGTGAGACTTGACACCAGGAGCAGAGGTGAAGAGAGATATTGGGGTTCTTAGGTGTGCCATTTGCCTTAATAAGTACCTTATGATGCTGAGATCACTTTTAGTGTATATTAAATAATTCATAGCATCACAACTTGCATACATGATATATTATATACTGGCTTTCGGGAACTGCATTACCTATAAAATTACTTCTATTTTTGTTCACAAAGTATATGTTTGTCTTTGATGATATGCTGGAAGGGGGCTCATTAAATTACTAATGCAACTATTAAAAGCTATTAAATTACCAATTTTGAGGGATCAATTCAAAGCACATTGAGATAAGCATAAATCCAAAGTAAACCAAGTGTCTCTTCACTTCAATGACTCTCCTATGAGGCTCTCAATGCTGAAATCTCTTTTCTCCTGAGCATTAACCCCTTCTTTGTATGGCCCTCCTCAGCCAAAACACTGTAGTTATTGCTAGGGCTCATGAAACATTGTTTGGTAGCACATAATGATGGGGGGGGACACACCGCTTGGTTTGTGTTTACTTTGTGAGCCCGGGGGAGAGATTGCTCCCTAAGCTTCCTGACAAGATGCTTATTTTTATTCACATTGTCACCATGTTTTCCCATGAACAAATATTTATACTTCAGAGGAAATGTTTCAGTAACATGCATCAGGCAGGATAAGCAATGTGTTCACTTCCCTTCCCTTTATTATGAGAAAGCAATTTTGCTTACATGAGAAAGTAAATAAATAGATTCCCTAGAGACGCCTGGGAAGGGGTCGTTCTTGCAGGGAACCCATCTTGAAAATATTGGCAGCATGTCGCTGTGTTAGATGACCTGTAGAGGTTTCATTTGTAATTGCAAGAAGCGAATACATCAGAGATTTATTGTTTCCTTTGTTCAGAGAAACAGACCACGCTTGTACAATCCCGTCTCAATTAAAATATTTTCCCTTCTGACAAATGTTAGTAGCATGTTATATTCCTGTCTGCATTATTATAATGCACATTTAATATATATGGCAATATATAAATCCACCTTTTGTTAATCCTTCTGAACGTATAACAGACTGAGAAGGCCAACAGGTGAAAATGATCTAATTTCATTGATTACTCCAAAATTTGAGCAGGGGGCTTGACTGTATGATGTCCTAAGGTTCCTTACAACCTGAATTTTCCTGTGATCCTAAATTAAGGAGATGTATTTAGTTTTACTAACTTATGTTCTCACTGTATGAATCTGTGAAGATCTGGGTGTGGAACTTGGCAAAAGCATTATTAATATGCACCTCTAATTCAGGCTGGCAAGAGCCCCACCTCTTCCCTAGGCTGCACAGGACAAGAAACAGAGAAAGCTGCCTGGTTGCATGAAAGAGTACCTGCCTATTTGTGGTACAAACTCTTTCTTCATCCCAGGATCTCACTCATTTCCTTCATCTGCAGTAAGTCTGTGTAAGTATTCACTCTTGAAAATCAGACTTAGCAGCTTCCGTTTCTTTGATGCTTTGAAGAGAAGCTCAGCATTGAGTCAAAAGCTACTGTGAGCAGAAGTCACCCATTACACTAACTCTGCCATAATGCAGATCCTTTATACATTTGTTTTTATCTACTGGAATATCAGAACAAAGCTGACCAATCCTGTAAGTGAAAGGATTAATTCTAGGACTTTTCAGCTGAAAGTTCTCCAAGTCACAGATGATATAACTTTACCTGACCAAAAGCTGCTGGACAGAACAGCAGTGCTGACAGGCAATACTGAAAAGAATCAGTTTTTCTTCCCCCCCTGCCCCGGGAATACTTACCTCACAGGAGAAAATAATGTTTAGATCCATTTTTAACAGCTTGATCAAAAGCAGAATTTCAGTAAAGATATTTCATGTCCTTCTCTTAGTGTGGCACACCTGAAGGGAAAAGGAGAAAAAAAAAAAAAAAGAGAGAATAAACCTTAATATTTTCATCCTAAATGTACAACATATGCAATACCAAAGACCTCTCCTATGATACATTTCATATTGTAGAACAGGCCTGCTTAGCCAACAAAACAGTCTTTCAAAGTTTCAAACAGGTAAATTGAATACCAGCATTAAAATACTGACTGTTCACAGCAATGCACTGAAGAAACTGGGGTTAGATAGATGAGCTTTTGAGAGTAACTGGAGATTGACACCACTCTGTCAAAGCTTGTTCTTGAATAATTTTCCTCTGTATTTAGATTAAAATAAAAAAATAATCACCTTATGTGTCAGAACCAAACCCTGCTGTATCCCAGTTACCAGCTCTTCATAGGTTAGCTAGCAGACACCAAGGAGGGGGGTTTTGCCCACCTTCAAGAAGGTAACAAGACTCTAAAATACGAGCTGACAGCCTGATGACACGTGAACTGGAACTTCTGCGCTGCTTTCACCTTTGGTTCAAACGAAATTAATTACAGAAGTGCTTGTTGGGTTTGGTAAGTGTCTGCATTACTGTGGCTTGGTTCCCATCCAGGAGCAAGGCTGAGGTTTTCCAAGAACCAAAGGTGGGAGCAACATTGATTTCACCTCAGATGCTGCCCTAAGAGCAACGCTCAATGGCACATGTAGTTTCCAGAGGTTTCTGCTAGCTTGAAAAGCACAAGTGTGATGCAGATTCTTCAACTGAAGAGACTAGCAGCCTGCTTAACTTTTCTAGGTATTTCTCCTTCCTTGTCAGCAACATTTCAGAGTTGAATTTAGGACCGAAGTTAGTTTCTCACAAAAATCCCCACCTTCTGTAGATACCCTGCACAAGACAACTGTGAGGGTGAACACAGAAAGTTTAGTAACACCTCATTCCACCTTTGTAGAATAGACGAACCACTGGAATTGACACTAGATCTGGAGGCATGATCTTTATATCCCTCTAGAAGTCCTTCCCCTCCCTAGAAGCAACTTTATTTATCCACAAGCATTCTAGCAGCAGAGTATCAGTCTGCCCTAACTGCCATGTTCCACACAGCTACCACTGTTGAGAATCTTCTCACTACCTTTTCTATTGTCTTCACCCTGACCTTCTCCAAGCAGGCCCTTACAGCTGCCACACGTAGCTCCCTTTGTGAGCCCCACAGACAGCAGCCTTAGCCCACAGTGAAACAAACCCACAAGTAATTAATTAAATACTGGCATTAGCATACACAGGGCTCTCAAACTGTTTAAATACCTATTTATGTGATACTGTACTATTCACAACTGTTCATTTGTTTCCTCAGTACTGATGGAAGACTAGATGTTATTTGCAGCTTCCTTCAGAACATCCCTTTAAGAAAAATAAATCTATTTGATCATAAACTCTGAGCTTTCTCTGTTTTTACTTCACTGAGATCTCATCCATTTAAATTAGCCTTTTTCTGTTTTCCCTCGCTAAAATCCACAGACATAGCCTCCATGGATATGTTGAGATTCTTCTCGCTCTCAGACACAGAAAGCCATTCCACCAGCTCATTCATAATTCTTTTTCAGAAATCATTAATTATTTACATTATTGTCCCATCAAAGGCCACATTGAGCTCTCCCACTTGCTGAGAGATTTTTTTTTAAATTGTTATGCTGTAAAGTAAGACCAGTTGTTTGAAGAGTGTAAACAGACAGAAATGTAGTTAAACCTGATTTTCATCCTTACTAAAGTATAAGCCCAAAACTTCCACTTCACAGAAAAAAAGTTTCTGGCCTCCATCCCCCTGCCCCTCAATTTTACTTCCGCTTTCTGTTTTTGAAGATAGTCGGGACCACAAAAGAAAGGTTCTAATCTTAATTAGCATAGTGCTGCCTGATTACCACTCCAAATTATAAATACCTTCCCTACCGTGGTAGTCGAGGCAGATATTCTATTTCTGCAATGATGATCTGCACTCAGAAGAATCAAGCAGCTAAACCTTACATGCAGCTTCCTTATCTGAGTCTTAAGGAGCTCACAGCTGAAGAGAGAGCCGGCTTTATGCCACTCTTACCCTGCGTGCCTGCACCAGAGAGCATCAGTTGTGGCTGTGGCAGTGCAATTCCTTCTCTCTCCCATCTGCTCCTCCCACAGACAGGCATTACCTGAACTAACGCTCACCCACAGCTGCAAGCGTGCTACGGTGCTGTCTGCAGGACATCGGTAAGGTCACCGTAAAACGAGCGAAACTAAAGCCAGCTGGAAGAGAAAGTAATTCAGTGTGGGATGTACTTATATGCTCTAATTCTCCAAGGTGGGGTATTTCCTTTAAATGGGTGGGACAGGGAGGAGCAGGTGGGTGCTGCTGCAGGTTGCTGGTGATACAGTCGCAGCGCACACCAGGCCCAGAAGGAATGCAGATGACAGCATGTGGAACACTGGGCTCCGTCTCCGCTCCTTGGGGCCAACACGGCACGTGTGATCTGGCCTAGGAGCCTCTTCTGCTATGGACATGTCACTCCTCTAACACAATGACACTAGAAAAAAATCAGGGAAAACAGCCCAATTTTCTCCTCAAATCCACCTCAGCTTCACCTTTCCTTCTCCACCATTTTTAATTTTTTTTTAAGATTATTACCAAACTAACAATATTGCACAATTTTATCCTCTCAACCTACTTAAAAGCCTCCTTTTACTTCCCTATCATCTCTATGTATTGGTTTCATGTTTCTGTAACATCACACATTTTCAGTATATCTGCCCAAAAATCTCTTCAGCAAACTTTGAGGGATTGTGTAGAAAAGTAACTGCTTATAAGCATGATGGTTCTGCTTTGTTTAATATGGCCTTACTTCAAACTTGTGCCTTTAAAAGTTCAAATGCTGGAAGAAGTTCAAGTAAAAGAAAGAGCAGAACCTTAGTTCACTGTTGTAAACTTTGCTATGACTCACCTCACTTACTGTACATTACATGGTTGAACAGACAGTAGAAATTTTACTTCCCATTGATACCTAAACCAACATTTCCTTCAACATATTTTCAAACCTTTAATGTTCCGGAATTCATAGTAAATGCAAGTGTTTTGTCCTTCCTGCTTTGGTTTAGACAAGTGTGCTTTTTCTAGCATCTCCCTTAGAGATAAAGGAATTTTCTCCTGTATTGATTACATAGGCAAAAGTAATTGATGGCACGTGATGTAAATGCTTCTATAACAAGTACAAATGATGGCATCTGGTGAGCAGTTGACAATCGGGTTCTAAAAGAAGACGGAATACTATGCTTGCCGCTAACCCTACCCTAGGAGCAGCCGCAATGACTTGGTTAAACGGCTGCTAAACAAAAATGTACGTACTAAAGCTCTAATCTCCCGCACTACCCAAGTAGGGAAAAGTTTTGCCCTTTTCTCATCCCTCTTTTTCTAAGAGCTGCAAAAAAGCAGGGCTGGGCATGGCCCACTGCTTCTCCCCCAGAGGTCCTGAAGGGGCAGAAGGGGCTCTCTAACCTCACCCTTCGGAGACACGTCCTTCTCCACAACCAGCTCCTCTTGTATGCGGCTCTCTACATGCATTTCCAGTCTGCACTGATTGCAAATTTCATTCATGTAATGCAGAGACCCATTAATAATTCAAGATTAGAAGGGAACCTAAGGGCAGGAATATTCCATTTTTGCTCATGCGATGGATGTTACTTTGCTAGTACGTCAACTCAAGTTATCTCTGTGCATGCTACGTTAATTCAGTAAATTGCTTTTCAAACAAAGTGCATTCAGAAAGTGCCTGGAGAGCCCATAGGAGAGGAAAGTTTAATTTTTATGGTGAAAGTGCCGATCGATATCCAGAAGGAGAGATGTGACAGATTTGAGTTTTGCCCATCGAGTTTTCAAGAAGAGGGGGGAGCCAGAATAAACGGCATAAAGCTGCCCTCCCTCCGCACGAATACGTGGAAGTCACACCAGGTGTAGCGATAAACAACCCGGCACACTACTTACACCGTGTTCAATCAGAGAAATAATAAATCCGCCTAACGGTATTTAATAGCCCGGCGGCGTTGCGGCGGGCCC